TGTCCTGACACAGAGCTGATATGCAGAAGGTACTCAGTAAATATACTTTTGAATAAATAAACCCTAAGGAGTCATTCTGGTCAGTACTCAGGTCTGCTTATTTTTCTCTTTCTTTGCCTAATCACTGTACTTATTTTCTCAACTTAAGAATTTAAAGGGAATGGATGGGGAAAGGCAGGTTGTAAAATAAAAGGACATTTTCCTATATACTCAAGTTGCTCAGATTGAGTGGCCCAAGTGATGGATCCACTTCAAGAGATACAAAGAGCCACAGGTCCAGGTGAAGTTCCAATCCTCACCCTGCTCAAGCACCCAAGGGGAGTGTAAGAAGGGTACAGGAGATCCCATCGTCCAGCATAACTGTTACCTACAATAAACAAGAACAGCTAACTGTTTATTATTGATAGTAATACCATAAGAATATGGTATTTTTCTTTAAACAATACCATTGATATGCCGGGGAGGGAAAAAATAGAACAGGATGTAATTGGCAAATAAGAAACCAGTGTATTCTTCATAAACCTGATCTGAATTCAAACACATCTGAGGTTTGCAGTTCTCCCTCTCAAAAACCACAGACCCCACCCACACTCCTCTCACTTCCACAACAGAAAATAACACTACTGTTCTCTTTCCTATAGGTTTCCATCTTGCAAATGGATCCAGATATAGTTTGTTCTAATTTGAAAGTGACAGCTCCAGCAAATAATTTCCAAAAGATTCACATCACCCTTTTCTTCATCCCTGTCTCCCCCTCCTTCTCTTCACCCCCTTCTCTCTGATATAGTTAATCATAGTCAAAATTTCCTCCTTTTGATCTAGTTAGAAAAATAGGCCCATTGCCTCAATATTGACAGCAGCTACAGCTGGACTGCCCCAGGCCAGAAATCCTTTGTCTGAAACAAATAAACAAAAATTCTGCCTCTTTCCTTTTCCCCAGTGAAGCCTGTCGCCCGCCTCTCGACTGGAAATCTAACCCACAGGCATTTACATCATAAGGTTTGTTTCCATAAGTTATAGCAAAAGGCAAAAATGAGCACGGTTCTTTGGCTACAGGGCAGATTTCCCAGTGCCTAATTTGTTAGGGATGACATTTCTGTTAATGCCCTTGTATTAACACTGCATACCCATATTTTAATTTTGCTATAAAATCACATTATGGCACTTAATAAGAGAGCTATCAAGAACCATTACTGAAAAGACACTATGGAATTTTATTCAACTAAGTTGTATATTGACTTTTGGTCAGTGTTTCAAAATAGTTCCATTAGGTTTATGTCATCCAAAAAAAAAGAAAGAAAGAAAGAAGAAGAAAAGGAGAAAGAAAAGAGGAACATGAGGACTTGGGGTATAAACTCTTAAAAAATATTAACAATATTTTCTGATCTCCATTTGGAAATTAATCATCCATTTCATTATGCACTGCGTGCAGCATCATTTTTCTTTCAGTGGGTTTGATTGGAAATCTCGTGTTCTGCTAGGTCAGTTATTATTCCCTACTAACCGACACAGAAACCTGCAGTGCCTGGGAAGCATGTTTGGGAAAACCGATGCTAACATCAACACTCTCTTTCTGCTAAATGACAGACTTCCACAAAGTATAAAATATGGTTTAATCCAATCTCTTCGTAAATCTGATAAGTGTCAGAGCATTTGTGCCACTACATCCAGGAAACTACTAATTTCCATTGTGAAAGTACTGAAGATCACATGCAGAAATTCCTTGCTAAACAAAAGAGAGAAAACATGCTAATTTCAGTCATGTGTTAGGCACTCATTTATAGAAAACAGTGGGCATAAGAAAGCACATCTTCATAGTCTGGTTTGAGAGGGGGCAGGAATGCATCTGCGCCATCAGTAGCTTTCCTTTTACCCGGTAACACCAGGTAACTCTCTAACAGGTAACTCTCCAACACCATTGACTAGGTAGGAATTTTACAACAGATATTTACAAATCTTTCAGAAGTTTTTTGGTTAAAAAGGAGAGAGCAATTCTTTGCATAGCAGAAGGTGGTTCTTTCTTCCCAATTCTCTGACCCAGCAAAAATTACTGTCAACTATCTGCCCAGTTGAGGGATATTGATTTTCCTGTTACCAAGGCAACACATTAGTTGTCAGGTCTATGTGTCTCTTACACTCAGTGCCTAATCTGTCCCTCCTGGCTTTTGGATTTTGACACTTTCTAAGCCTTAATTAGTTTATTTGATGGAACCTGCACATTTTATTTTTATACTAAGTAGCTATTGAAAACACAGTCATCCAGAGAAACAGATCACAGAGGTAAAAATCAGTGTGCTGTCAGGCGGACTTGAGATGACAAAGAGTGAGAGTAAAGTGGGAGGCACAGGCTCTACTTGCTGCTCCTCAGATATTGGGGAAAATCAAAACAGGTTTTGCCATCTGTCACATAGCACAGTGTGAAAATTGTGGAGCTGTTCGTTTCGACGTTTGAGGAACATTCAGCCACCATGATTAGATCACAATAATATTAGCTAGTCACTAAAGGTTTGGATCAATGCTCTTTAATATTTTCTTCTCAGAGAATCTCTGTCTTAACTTATTTTTCAGTGGGAATGTCTGCTAAGCAATTGACTTAGATATAAATATTTTATACAAGTAAAGCACTTGGGATGGGAGTCAACATACTGCTGATGACTTAGTTCAGTTGAAAAAGTTAATAACAAAACAAAACCAGTGGAAAATCTCATAAACCATTACTTTTTAGAACAAAGTAGTATTCCAACTATCATCATAACTAAGACATTACTGCTCTTTGCACCACCTTGACATTTATACTGATGGTGCAAAAATAATTATGGTGAACCCGTTAAAAGAAATAGCACAAATCAAAGCAATCTCTCTTCCCCCTACACACACACACACACACACACACACACACACACACGCGCGCGCAAGCAGACAGGCAAGCATATACAGGTGCAGGCACACAGAAGGAAGAATTTACATTTTTAAATGCCCTTGACTTGATGAGTGAATTTAAAAAATTTAAACTCTAAATAATCCTGTTCCTTCAGTATACATCTTTGTTATAATTGTGCACAATAAGAATGGGAAAATTGCATAAAACATTTCTGCCATCACTAGAGTACAATGGTTGTCTCAAGGAGAAGCACTTGTGTGACAAGTCTGAGTGGAGAGTAGAACTTTTTAATGGAACACAACTATTACAGGAAAGAATGGTGGAAGAAAATTAGTATTAACACTTGGGTATTGGGCAGATTTTTTTTTCAAAATTAGAGTAGTGAAATTGTCATTTCAGGGTGAACACTCACAGTAATTGTTGCCAATGGTAAAATGTTAGCTTTCAAATACAAGTTAGATTTTTGGAAAGACTATTTAAACAGTTTCCCAACACAAAAATATTTTTTCTGATAAGATGGTAACATTTAATGCATACTTTTTTTATATATTGTACATGAAGTTACAAAATCTCTTATGGGTAAAAGATCCATTCAAAATACAAGAAGGATCACTGAATATAAAGCCCTCATTTACATGGTTTCAGAATTTATCCTGCAATCAGCTTCAAAAACTACAACTTGTCAAGTTTTGGTATAATACCAAACAAGAAAAACCACAATTACCTAAAAAAGGATATTGAAATATTTATCTCATTTATAACCACACATCTGTTTGAGGCTGCAAACCAAATATATCTTAGTTGAAACAAATAAATCACAACAAATTGAATGCAAAATAACATAAGAGAAACCATCTGTCTTCTATTAAGTCACACATTAAAAAGTTTACAAAAATGTAAAACAGTGCCACTCTTAATTTCTTTTCATTTTAGAAAATATAGCTATTGTTCATAAAAAGTTATTATGTAATAGATCTATTATCTTTTAAATGAATAAATTTAAATTTTCTTTACTCTAATTTATAATACAATAAATATATAAGCAAAAGATCCTTGGGACCCTTAATAATTTATAATTGCTGCACAATCTGAGGTCAAAAAGTTATACTACAATGGGCCAGTGGGGGAACTATCCATAGCACCACAACCACAAATCAAGGACTAAGGGCACATAGGAGGGTATTTCTTAGAAATCCATTTCACCTTCTTGGAAACAAACTACAGTTTCATCACCAGTGCCTAACCACTTATCCCTAAAGTACAGACTGAAAAATTCCAAAACAAGAAAAGATAACCCAAATTTAGTCCTAGGACTTAGCTCTTCCTAACCTAAATAAGGAACATTTTATTATACACTATATATGCAAGATACTTTGGGAACACAAGAGAGTCTATTCTCAATACAGAACATACGATGAGATGACATTTCATCTTTTAGCAAACACCATTCCATTACAGTCATGTTTCACTTAATAACTAGAATACATTGTGAGACACATGTCATTAAGTGATTTCATCATGGTGTAAGTGTCAGAGAGGGTACTTACGTGATCTTAAATGGTATAGTCACTAGGCTATATCTAGAGGCCACCATCCTATATGCAGTCTGTGCTAACTGAAACATTGTTTTGAAGTAGAAGACTTTTATCCATAATAAAAGGTAACAGTAACATTGTGCTTCTGATATGACTGATGCTGTTATAATAAAAGTTACAAACCCTAGTATCACTAATTCATGACTAAAGATAGACTAGGGAATATGACACCAAATTTCTGAGATTGGCATCTCTGACCAACATAATCATTCCAGACCAACAAATTAAGACTCAGATCACGGTAATGTCAAAACTTTTGAGAGGTAATACATCTTTCAACACTTAGCAGAATTCAACAATTCAAATCCTCAAAAGCATAAAATATCATTTCATAGCAGACTATCATCCTGGAAATGAGTGTAACCAAGTAAGTCAAAATAAGAACTACATTCCCCATTTATGTTTTGCTGGTAAATGGTAACCACTCTTTCATTTGAACTGTTTTGTAGTGTGTCATCCAGTCTTGAGAGGACTGGATTCTTGGTTTCCCCACTAACAAATACAAAGAAATATCACTTACTTACCTGAGTCCAAGATCATCCAAGCCAGACTGACAAATGATCTGTCATCCTTTCTTCCTTTCACACAACTAGAAAACATAATAAAGCAATTCTCAATATCTGGCCTGGAACTCTGCTATAAGTCCCTATATATGTGTGTGTGTGTCTTCTTCATTTTGGAAATTAATGAGAGCTTCGGGAAAGGGAGACTTGAGGGGCAATGTCAAATGCCATTCTTTGATATTGTGATTTATAAGAAAAATATTATTTGGTCACCTAGATGACCAAAAAATAGATTGATTTCTCAAGTATATTTGGTCTTCACAGTTCCAGGCACCGCGGCTCCCAAAACCTTTGGAAATTCTTAAGTGAAGAAAGTGAAAAGGATGTCTTATGTAAATGAGGTGACTTTTGGGAGTAAATAAAGATGGGGGATGGTCACAGATTGAACCATCTATATGTCTCAAGGTTTGGAACCTTCTCCCACACTCACACCTACCTCCAGGGAAGGCAGACGAACCCATGGTCAAATCAATTACCAAAGGCCAGGGATTTAATCAATCATACTTATGTAATAAAGCTTCTCACGAAACCCAAGAGGAGTGGATTTGGAAGCTTCCAGGTAGGAGAATATGTGGAGATTTGGGGAGAGTGGTGTACCTAGAGATGGCATAGAAACTCTGAACCCTTCTTCATACCTTGTCCCATGTAACTCCTTCACCTGGCTAGCCTGGAATAACATTCTCCATAATTTATCAGTAGTGTGGTACTAGTAAATGGTTTTCTGAGTTCTGTGAGCAATTGGCAAATTAATCAAACCTGGGGAGGAGGTGAAGCGTAGTCTTGGGCGTCTGGCCTTTTCCCTGTGGGAATTGATACTGTCTCTGGGTAGGTAGTGTCTGAATTGAGTTGAATTCTTGAACACGCTACTGGTGACTCAGGAATTGCTTGCTGGCGTAGGGAAGCCAACACACTCACTCATTGTAGAATTAGGCCCAGGGACCCCTATAATCATTCTCTAGAAATAACTGCCCTCTGTAATTTAACAACTTTACATGTACAAAACCAGATTTTCTTTGCCTTTTTATTTTTTTGCACTGATTCATTTTTCTATTTCACAATCTATAAACACAGTTTTGTTGACTTTGTAATGACATTGCTAGAGTGATTTTTAAAAAAGAAAAAATCAATTTTATTATATAAAATTGAGACTTTTACATTTCTAAGTCTACCAAGGCTAGAAATAACAGTAACAATAAAAAAGATCTCTAAAGAATCTTATTTTAAATCACTCACAAAAACTGTTAAATACTTAGTTTCACAATAACTTCCCCCCACACAAACACAAATAACAAAGTGACCTGACAAAATGTTGTAAGAATAAACACTATAAATAACATGAAGTATTTAAAAGCCATACATCCAGACATTCTTCCTTAGCTTGATGATTTTTATGGCATGCAGAAGTGTGACCCTAAAGCCCTTGGAAGAGGTAGCTGCTCAACCTGGCATCTCTAGTCATCCCACCATTTCCAAGTTCAACATAAAGCTATACCATATCTCTCAGGTATTAAACACACTTCTTGAAACCATAGAACTGAGCAGCTGAAAGTACCATCTCAATTCTTCTCTGCTAAGTTATCAAGGAATAAAGTACAGTTTGGAGGATAATAGTGAGGTTCTGAGATTGAATTTCCTTGGGTATTAGCAGAGTCTGGGACTCCATGACCAGGCTTATGATTATAACAACAGCTGTCTCCATTGTTTTGGCCTCTTTGTCAGCAAAAATACCACACATGCTAGGTACTATTTAAGAATCTGTATTTGCACACTGCAGTTGCATGGTTTATCACAAAATAGGAAATGTCTCAAGGTATTTGTGAATGAGAACGATTCCCTAACTTATCTTCACCCTCATCTTAATGGCCAAAATAAGTAAACAGAGCACACAGGTCTCTCTTACAATTTTGTGATTCATGTTGTTGAGATAAATATCATCACTTAATCTGACATCTGTATCCTGAGTTAAAATTTGTCAAACAAAACAACTCTTAATAGGCAAAGTTCAGGGCCTCCCCTGGTGGCGCAGCGATTGAGCGCTGGGCTGCAAAGATGCCCGCAGCCTCTGCAGCGCCAATTCCATCCCTGGCCACCGGCGAGGGTCCCACATAGCGCAACAGACCTCTCCTGCCATGCCCGCTGCTCCCCTCAGCAGTGTATTTCTTTGTCAGTCTGCCTGTTCTGCTCCCTGCTCTGGCTCTGGTGAATTCTCTCACCCTCCCATGCTTCTAACTGTACTCAGTGCTTGTGTAAATAAAAAAATAAATCTTTAAAAATAAATAAATAATAAAAAGCAAAGTTAAGCAAAGGTTGCCCATAACAGTGCCCTATAGTTACATGGTTAGTTATTTATAATTGGTTGACAGTTTTATTTTATTTGGTAATTAAACAAATGTGGCTACAACATATTGTCAATTTTCAGCACCTCTTCACTAAAGAAGTTTCTCAAAGCTTTGGTGTGAAGCAACTATGAAGAATTTCAGAAAACCACAATTTTTCTTATCTAGCAATTAGACAATGGGCTGGCTCAGAAAAGACTTAAAAACAAAAATTTTTTAAAATTATGTTTAATTTATATTTTTTAATATTCCCCCTTAATTTCATTCCTCTTCATATTGCCTTCAGTCTTGTAAAATTATTATTCTGTTTTCTCACTTCAGGATTTAAAATATGCAAGGACCATTATATGGGAAGAAAACACAATTATGCTTCTCAATTTGTAGAAGGGAGAGTTGTTATGTGCTTGCCACAAGGAGAGCTCATCATACCCAGAATTGCGTCAAATGTCATCTTAAACAGGAAAACCTGTTTCAAGAAGAGACTTCAAACTTAAAAAGTTGGGCCTTTGTGTGAGTGCCCTGGCTGCAGCAGTTGTTAACAAAGATTAACAGTTAACCTAGTCATTACTCAGGGGCTCCTTGTCCTGTATCTACGATTCTTTTTACTATTGTGATAAAATATCCCTAGCATAGAATTCACCATTTTAACAATTTCAAAGTGAACAATTCAGTGGCATTAAGTACATTCACAATGTTGTGCAACCATCACCACTATTTAGTTCCAGAACCTCATCACCCCAAAAAGAAACCTTATATCTATTGTGCCCACAATATTTTAAACCATGGACTGGATGCTTCATTTGGATCAGAATTTCTTTAACTCCTCCCTTCTCATGTCCTGCAGCTGATCACAGTTGAGAGTTTAAACTCTGAAATCCAATTGCCTCTATTTAAATCCTGATCTTGAGCACACAGTTATTCTAAGCTTTCTCGCCCTCATCTATGAAATGGGAACAATCATAAAACCTCTTACAGAATGCTGAAGAATAGACTAGAATATATATATAACCCACTCAGTTCAGATTCTAGCAAGCATTAAAAGTTCAATATATGCTTTCTATAGCTATTAATTTACAGTTTTCATCACACCTTCTAAATGTTGTATAAATATGAGCTCTTCAAAAATTCTTAACAATCCCATGATGTAGTTGCTATTAGTAAATTCATTTTACAGATGAGGAAACTCAAGCACAGAGAGGTTAACTAACTTGCCCAAGGTCATGTAACTCTTAAGTAGACGAGCCAGGATTCTTTCCTATGGAGACCATGTTTGTAACTACTATGCCCTGCTGCTGCTACATTATTACTTATAGTTACTATACTCGCTCCAAAAAGCCTATGGTTAGTCTTTCCTTAACACTCTTTTTCTACTTCTTTGGACCACTTTATAATAACAATGGAGAGTGCATCCATATCCTGGCCTTCCTGATGCAGCATCTTGAAGTGTTTCTGTGTGTTTTCATTAAATGTATGATTTTACACACTAGTCACCAAACTAGACATGCACTTTTGTTTGCTCGTTTGCCTCATAATATTATAGCATAATCATACACAAAAACTTTCATTTGCCCAAATATATTTGATCTTAATCCTTGAATTACTTGTCAATCTTTTATAATTTTCATTTATTTATGTGTATGTGCTATACTGCCTATACCCCAATTGACAGGCTTTATTTGGCTGGTTAACTTACATTGCACAAGAACTTGTATTTAATTCTGAGTACAATGGCGTGGTTAGAACTCAGGAGTTAAGTTGGGAGCTCCAGTAGGTATACCAAAGTCGAGGTTCTTTAGGTGAATCTGCACCCAAAGGCACAGCATAGGAAACACATCTTTTCATGTGGTGGTGGGATGTTTGTGGGGACTACGCCTGAGGCGAGACATCAAAGTCAAATTGTATGCAGGAAGAAAAGGAAAACAACATCAACTGCCTGCCAGTGTGTGAATGAGATGCCAGGCTAACAAATACCACTTCCAGCTACCATAGATTATTTGCAGAGATCTGCATATTTAAACAAAACAAGCCAATGAAAAATCAGAGAAAGATGCTTCATTACAGGATTAAAAAAAAAAAAAAAAAAGGAGCACAGGTTCTGATAAAATAAATTTCCCTTGAGGCACAATTGTTTTTCTTCCTACCTTCAAAGGGATGAAAAGGCGTCAAATTACTTGGAGGGATGTCAAATTTAATTTATTTCCATTTTTCTCTTTTTCTTTAATTACAAAAGTAATATATGCTTATTGTAAGGTGTTCAAGCAATACAGAAGTATGTAAAATAAGGACAAGTTCCTACAGATCAGGAGAAAATATTGGCACTCCATACAACTAATAAGGGACTTATATCAAAGATCTACAAAGAGATTATACAACTCAACAAAAAAAAGTAAACAACCCAATCAAAAAATGGGCAGAAAAGCTAAAAATATACTTCTCCAAAGGCAACTATAGATCTTATTTTTAAAGCAGGAGAAGGGGAGGAAGAGGGATCAAAAAAGGCATGGGAAAGAGTGCAAGGGACTCTGACGATGGTTCATAGGTGATGTGGTGGTGGGATATTTGTGGTGGAAACTACACCTGAGGTCAGACATCAAATACGTACAAAAATGAACTACGTAAGAAACATTAAAATATTAAGGAAAAAAAGGTAAGTTCCCCTTCTTACCATCACCATCATCCAATCCTCTTTT